AAATTTATCCCTAAATTATTCATACGACTCGGTAATTAACATTAATGTATGATTAAATCTAAACGATGATATCGACGAGAAAGAAACTTTGACGTGTTATAACGAGAAAAAAATAAAAAGAAAAAAAAAAAGAAAAAAAAAAGAAAAAAAAATTATCGGTAAAATGTAAATGTTGATCGTTTCGATCATCTTTCGCTTGAAATTACAAAAATAAAATCTATACTAAGTAATTGCATAAAGAAATATCATTTACAGGACTCGTTGACGCAAAGAAGCAAAAATATGTGTTGGTTAGCGAGAATTAAAACACAAAGAAATGACCGTGGTCCATAAGTCATCTCATTTACTTAATCCGTTCGTAACCGAACACAGACGTCATCACAAGTGTTAACCATCTAAGCTACTTGACCAATATCGCATTGTTTGTTTGTTCATTTACATTAAATAATATTTGTTACCATATCAGATATATTAACTACAAAAAAAAAAACAAAAAAAAACAAAACAAAAATCAAATAAATATATTATGAAAAAGAATTAAATGAATAATAATAAAATAAGTTGCAATAAACACGCTGTGAGTACAAAAATAAAAATGAAAATAAAAATGAAAATACGATAAATCAAAAAAAAAAGAAAAAAAAATTGTAATTATTTTGTCATCGTAGTTCAAAAATAACGAGAAGGAAAATTATGATCATTTCAACGAAACTCATTATGCGTTTCTATAATGTATAACATATAAGATGGCTGTTGTTTCTAGTATTGTATAACAACTTACTACTACTGATATACAAAGAGGATGCGCAACAAATAAGCAAAGAAAAGTGTGACAGGAGTGAGAAATCGTTCTTTGGTTTTAATGAGCACGGTGATAAGGTGTGATTCACGGTCTTTCTGGTGATATAATATGAAGAATAAGAATAAGAATAAGAAGAAGAAGAAGAAGAAGAAGAAGGAGAAGAAGAAGTAGAAGAAAAGAAAACAAGACCCCAAGAGGCGTATAATATAGCACTTAATCGATCGGATCATCGTGCCAGATTATTTACCATTTCCTAGTTTTTGCTTCTTTATTTTTTTCTTATTCCATTCTTATATTTTATATGCGAAATGTATCGCGTCGAACACGTATCTCTTATTAAATAAATAAATGTATTCCTGTTTCGCATCATTCGTACATGTTATTTTTCTTCTATATAAATTAAAATTTTTCACACATTTAATATAATTCAATAATTTAATTTTATAGATTGTCTCTAATTATTGTTTGTAATTAATAAATAAACAAAAATTTAATTTTACCAATTTAATTCGAATGCTCGAAAAGAAAGTGTATATGCATATATTAAATATTAAATATTAAATAAATGAGAGATGAAAATATAAAATAAAAAAAAT